ATTATTATGAGAAAACCATTGTATTATCTTAGTTTAATGTTGTTTTAATGTATTATAGTCCTTCTCTTCATAACAAGTATAACAAATCGCTAGTAGTAGCTGATGTCTCGGTAGCTAGCTAGCTAAATTTTCTGTTCCACCGTAAATGGTGCAGCAGTTACATTCTGGAGCCTCAGGTGTCAGAACTGCTGCTCCATTTAAGATGGAACAGGAAAATCCGAACAAAAAGCTGACGAATAGCTGACTTCAACTTCATCATCGTCACCGAAGAATTAGGTGTGGGCGATAATAAATAATTATCGCATCCCCCTCTTTGAAGGCATATGATTCCCTAAATGTAACTAAAGCCCAGCAGTGAGGAGCTGAACTTTACCCTCCTCTGCTGTCACTGCAGACTGGCAGGGTCGCCTACAGAGCAGCACTAGTAGCCAGTTAATGAAGTGATGTTCTTTTTTTATTTGAGGGTCCCATTTCGTGGGGGAAGATTTCCACTACAACTTGTAACTCAGTTCCAAGGGGCAAGGTGACACCCGAAAACAGGGGGTAGGGGTAAAAATAAGAAATGGGTTTGGGCCCAGGTCTCCTGCCTCGTCCAGTGTCAGCCACACAACATGTTATTGTTCAAAAGTGTGGCGCCTGTCGCATAATGCTGATGTAAATGTCCATGTGATGTTGTTTAGATCTGGGCTGTTTGGGGTAATTTTGGGAAATTACACAGATCCTTTATCCAGGATGAATCGACCAGTTAAACCACACACAGTTTACATCACAGACCACCTCTGGTAAAACTAATCCAGCTCCAATAGGGCTTTAGTTTCTGTGTTTTTCAGAAGAATCAGAATCACAATCACTTTATTTCTCCAAGTATGTTACACATACAAGGAATTGGTGAGTGCACACATGTGTGACATGAAACATACTGAACAGACCAGACAAACAAACAAACTGTTAACAGATATTTTACTGACTGACGAATAAAATAAAAATGCTAAACATAGAATTAAAAAAAAAATATGTAACAAGACAAAAAAGCCGCATGTGACTTCAGCTTTTTAGGTTAAGGTAAAAATAAATCAATGGAGCCAGTGACCCACACCTAACAGCATGAGCTTGATGGTCAGAGTGAATCACAGTCCACTGAAACAAATGCACAAGAGACTCTCTGTTTCCAGTGAGTGCAGTAAGTGAGGATTGTTTCTAGAGCAGCTTTATTCTATTTTAAAGCTGTTTTGATGGGTTGTATGGTTGTGGTTGGGTTTGTTGGGCTGAAGGGTGGATGTGTTTTGAAGGCTGGCTGTAAGAGAACTGGATTACAGTCTGAATTGTTCAAATACAAGTTTGCTGGGTGCTTCAGTGCAAATCACATACCTCAGAGGTAGGGCTGGGCGATAAAACGATAACGATAAGTATCAGCGATATAACTTTTCCTCGATAGAGCGATAAGACAGGTTCGATAAATGTTCGATATAATACACCGTTCTCACACTTACACGTTTTAGCGAAAGCCCTGGTGGCGTTTTCTACTGCAAGGAAAGCGACACTACTCTGCTGTCACCAGGAGAGGGCGCACTTCCGAATTTTTCGACTTGATTAGAGAGGGAGGGGGCCACGAGTAAAAAAAGGGTCGCCAAATATACTTTAGCAACGGCTGAAACGCGGAGTTATACATTCCCTGTCTGAGTGGATGTTATCGGCGATCTGTTCTGTGACCGAGTGTGAGTGACGAGGTCAGTGGTGTAACTGTACTGTCCTACAGCGAACTCACCTCTTTCTGTACATCCTAACAACTTCAGCGGTGTTAAATCACGTCTACAGCGCCGTGTTACAGCGCCAAACCGTCATATGTTAGTATTAGTGCATTCTCGAGCAACGAAAGTGAAAGAAGTGGGTTCATGTTTGAAAGTAAACTGAGGAAGCTGTGAGGCATTGGTGAGCAGGAGAGCACTATCTTTCCAGGCTAGCTGTTTTTAGCTGCTGGCTAACTTGAAGCAGCGCTCCGGCAAAACACGGTGAATTGATGATACTGTAGATCAAACACGACACAAAAGCACCGCTTTCAGTTTAAACATACCTAAAAGGAGGACTCTGTGACTGGTGTGAGAGATTCACACTGCAGATAATGCTTTTACACAGCAAACGTCAGATATACTGCGGTTCACCCCTTAAACTACTGCGATAGCATAGAGAAACCCAGTCGTCGCTAGCTGGTGTCTGAGTACTGTGATATGCTCTGACATGGATGTGGTAGGAGTGACCGCAGTGACCTACCGAACCGAGTTGACATTGTTGAGAAACTAAAGAGTTTGTTGGCCACTTGTTTAGCATTTGTAACGGGGTAGCCGAGCGCTCGTCACCAGACAGCTAAAAATAATCTGTTTTCTTTCTTAAATCATGACTATTACAAAAATTGCAGCTGTGCTTTTCCAGCTGATAGTGAAATGTTCCACTGTTTGCCGAGTGTTTGTCATGATCCGACCATAAGTGATAGTTTAAAACCACAATTAACCACCCAGGAGCAAAATCAGCCTTCAAACGTGAAAGAAATCATGATTTGACAGTTATCGCGATATGTATCGATATCGAACGATATGAATTTTGTTTATCATGATAATGTTTTTGGCCATATCGCCCAGCTCTACTCAGAGGTGATGTTTCAGCACACATTTGTTTCTGCTAATAGCTCAGTGAATGCTCAGTGGTGCTCAACAGCTGCAGGTAACTTATTGTCATTGTTTAAGTCTGCTGATTGGAACCAATCAGATTCATCCACATGTCCTGCAGTCCTGTAGAGGAGTCCTGAAGTCTGAATGATCTTTGTGGCCTGGCAGATCAGAAGGTTGTGGTTTTCCTGCTTCAATCTTTGGCCGTTAGGATCATTAGGATTCTAAGGCCCAATCCCATTTCTTATTTATGCCCCTACCCCTTGTTTTCGGGTGTCACCTTGCCCCTTGGAACTGAGTTACAAGGAGTAGTGGTTGAGATCTTCCACTATAAACTGGGACCCTCAAATTAAAAGAACATTACTTCATTAACAGCTACTAGCGCTGCTCTGTAGGCGACCCTGCCAGTCTGCAGTGACAGCAGAGAGGGGTAAAGTTCAGCTCCTCACTGCTGGGCTTAGTTACATTTAGGGAATCATATGCCTTTAAAGAGGGGGGTACGACAATTATTTATTATTGCCCACCCATAATTCTTCAGTGAAATTAATTCAGCTATTTGCCAGCTTCTTAATTGAATTTTCTCGTTCCACCTTAAATGGAAAGCATTCTGGCACCTCAGGCGTCAGAATTGCTGCACCATTTAAGGTGGAATGGGAAATTTCGCTGACTGGCTATCGAGACATCAGCATACTACTAGCGATTTTTATACTTGTTATGAAGAAAAGGACCACGCAGCCATTTTGCCGGTTTTTCTTTTTTTTCTCATAACACTCTGTTTGGAGTGAGTCTCTGAAAAACCTCTGTTTGGAGGGCCATGTAGCCCTAACACTTCGCTCTACCCCTCCATCTCAACAAAAATCGTGACACCCTACCCCTAGACGTGAGCACACAAAACGGAGGGGTAAGGCTAAGTGGTAGGGGCGAGGGGTGAAATAGGATTGGGCCTGTCACTACATTATCATTGTTTACCTTGTGACTGTTACAGTTCTTACAACATTTACTTCATGATTTCCATCATGACTTCATTGTTTTTAGGAGCTCCCTGTTTAAACCATTGTTGGGTTTATACTTTGTCAGTTCTTTTCCGGTGCTCGGGGCAGATGTGCTGCAAACCCTCAGGACATCCGTAAAATATTTCTTTGCTTATTACTTAATTTACAAGAACAAGGAACCCACTTCTACCATGATATGATATTCAGTTGTATGCAAACACAAATGATGTGTTGTGTTGGTTGTCTAAGTGAAAATAAATTCCTCATCCTCTACAGAGAACATACTTCTGCACATTTGTGATTATATGCTGTGAATTCTTAAGTGGCTTGTTTGCATGTTGTACACAAAGAAAAAAGATGGTTCTTCAAGGGTTCATTGGTAAAGAAAATGGTCCAATATAGAACCATGAACCCTTTGCATGATTAAAGGGTTGTTTGCATCATGAAAGTGTTCTTCAGATCGATGGTGCTGTAGATGGTTCTATATAGAACTTTTTGAAAATGGTTCTTCTGTTGTTACAGGCTTGACATCGTAACATTAGAAGTACCTATACTTTTCAAAACGGTTCTATATAGAACCACCTACAGCACATACAGCAGATCCATCGATCTGAAGAACGCTTTCATGATGCAAACAACCCTTTAATCATGCAAAGGGTTCTTTGAGTGTTCATGGTTCTATATAGAACCATTCTCTTTATTAAAGAACCCTTGAAGAACCATAAGAGTCTTCTAATATGATATGAGGATATTGTATTCTATGATATTGTAAAAAAACAAAAAAACAATAATTTTGGTTCTTCTTTTTCTTCTTTTTTGTTGTTGTTCTTCTTCTTCTTTTGCTTCTTCTTCTCTTTTTTCTTCTTCTTTTTCTTCTTTTTTTGTTGTTCTTCTTTTCTTCTCATTTTTGTTCTTCTTCTTCCTCTTCCTCTTCATCCTCTTGTTCTTTGTCTTTTTTCATCTTTATCTTCTCCAACTTCATGCTGTTTTCATCTTCTTCATGATTTTGTTTGTTTTCATCTTCCTTGTCCTTTGTCTTCATCTGTCGTCTCCTCCTTCTTCACTGTTTTCATCTTCATGATCTTTTTTGTCGTCTTCGTCTGTTTCTTTGTCTTCTTCGTGTTCATTTTCTTCCTCATTGTATCCTTCTTCTTTGTCTTTTTGTCTTCTTCCTTATCTTCTTCTACTTCATATTACTGCTGTTCTTGTTGTTGTTATTATTATTATTATTATTATTATTTATCTTATTTATTATTGTTAATGATAATAATGTGGTCATCATTATTAGAAAGATTGGGATCAGAGTTCTTGTTGTCTCATGCCTCTCTGTCCTGTCTCCTTGTTGCAGCGTGGTGAGATGGAGGATGGGAAACCGGTGTGGGCACCCCACCCTACAGATGGGTTCCAGCTGGGCACCATTGTGGACATCGGAGCGAATAGCCTGACCATCGAGCCCCTAAAGGAGAGAGGAAAGGTGAGCCTTTTGTCTGACCTTTCTGCTTTATCTGCAGGGTCAGATTATCACAGGAGCAGACTGCAGACTGCACTCTCGAGTCTGCTCTGAAGATTAAAGCTGATTTTTCTAGCATTGATGTTTTCTAGGCTGATTTTTGTGGTGTTTACATGTCATAACTGGCTTTTGTTTGGTTCCCTGGAATGATTTGTGTATTCAAATTGTAATCAAATAGTTTCTTTTGGATTACTGATATACAAGATATACATTAGGCTCTGGGCAGGCTTTACAGTAGATATTGGAACAGTGCTGTGAGGATTTGACTGCATTAAGCCACAAGAGCATTAGTGAGATCAGGCACTGATGTTGGATGATTAGTTCTGGATCACAGAGGTTTTGGATGGAGCTCCATCACTTCAGAGGATGCAGTTCCACTGCTCCACAGTCCAAGTGCTGTATTCCTGTAAATGATTGCAGTTGGACATAGGCTCATGTGCTGCTGCTCCTCCAGGGCTTTTTCTATGGAGATTATACAAGCCGAGTGCACACAGCACTGCTGTGCTAACACTCCACCACCACGTTAGTGTCACTGCAGTGCTGAGAACAATCCACCACCCAAATAATACCTGCTCTGTGGTGGTCCTGTGGGGGTCCTGACCATTGATCAGTGGGGTAAAATTGGGCTAACAAATAATGGACTACAGTCTGTAATTGTAGAACTACAAAGTGCAACTAAGTAGACCTGATAAAATGGACGACGAGTGTAGAAATAGTTACCTTATAAAGTCTATCTTGGTTACAGATAGTATTCTGAGCCAGAGTACGTCACCTAAAGTGCAAACTAACAAATGCAGCATTTTATAATCTAAAGTGTCATCCTTCAGTACCCATGAGCACACAGCTGCATTCAGTGAAATGGCCACGGGTTTTAAATGCGTCTGAGTGGCACCAGCTGTTTTGTACAAGAAAGAGTGATTTTGTGTGTATGTGTGTATCTGCTTGTTTTAGCTATCCTTGTGAGGACCACATGTCCTCACAATTATAGGACTGCTTCACAATTTTGTGTGAGGACATTTTGGTGGTCCTGAGTTGATGTGGTGCTTTCACCACAAAAATACTATTATAAAAACTAAAAGGTGGCCAATTGTAATTAATGAAAGTCCTCACAAGTGATGTAAAACAAATGTGTGTGTGTGTGTGTGTATGTGTGTGTGTGTGTGTGTGTATGTGTGTGTGTGTGTGTGTGTGTGAGTGTGTGAAACATTACATCTGCCCCATGTGATGTTGGACGGATGTGCCTGGAGTGGCCTGCTCTGATGATTGCCACAATGTGAGGAGTGTTCACTAGCATAGTCTTTGTGCCAACAGATGGCAGGCACCCCTACACTGAGAGTGAGAGATAAAGGCATAAAATGAAAGAGAGAGAGAGGGAGGCATGGAGAGAAAGAGGGAGGCAGAAAGAGTAAGGGAGAAGCAGAGGGAAAAGGGAGAGCAAAAGGGAAGAAGGAGAAAAAATAACGCATGACACCACGTCACCCTCTGTGAATGGCGGCGTTTGTGCCAAAAGCATTCAGTAATGGCACAGCGTCTCTGCCTCAGAGGCAGCCTGGCATAGAGAGAGGCTTAATTCTGAGGATTACATCACACCTGCACACACAGACACACTCACACACATATGCACACATTTATTTTCATACAATTTCATTAGATATATAAATATATAGCTACTTATATGTAATATATCTCTTATAAATTATAAAAAAAAATTGTCATGTTTGTATTATAAATATGTAAGAACATATATGGAGATAATAATAGCCCACACAGTAAATACAGAAAAAAATATTGTATTTAGTTATTGAGGCTTTTGTGTTAGATTCTCTTAAATATCTGTATTAATATTTACCCAGTGCTGAAAAATGAATTGGTACGGGAAATTAAATAAATGAAGGGTGGTCTCTGACTTCTGCACAGGACTGTAGTTAAAGCTAGTCTCTGTGAAAGTGAGGTCTCCAGTCTGTGTCGTAGAGGTTTGTAAGACATCATTAAAGCAGCTCAGGCTCCCTCTAAACACCCCCCTGTGGCTCTGGCTGGTGTGTGGAATGCGTGAGGAATGCCCTCCAGTCTGAGAGAGCGGACGCTGGGCCTCACAGTCAGCGGGGGCTCCCTGCAAATGTAACGCATCTGACAGAGCCTGACCCACACGGTCAAAGGTCGCCTGACATCTGTGCCGCACATTGTTTTTAGTTTTTTGAGTGAGTCCTCAGATATTCGCATTCAGTCTGAAGGTAATTCTGCAAATATCAAATTTACAATGGCAATTTTTCCTTATCTCAAACGAGTAGTAGACTATGACTGAGCCAGGCCGTGTTTGGTGCTGAAGCGCACAGTGCATGTCCTCTGTTGAATCACTTAGTAAAGAGTTACAAATTGCCTCTGGAAGCAACATCAGCAAAAGAACTCTGGAGCAGTGGAAACGTATTCTGTATTCTGTGGAGTGGTGAATCATGCTTCTCTATGTAGGGGTCTGATGGACGAGTCTGGGTTTGGCGAATGCCAGGAGAACGTTACCTGCCTGACTGCATTGTGCCAACTGTGAAGTTTGGTTGAGGAGGGATAATGCTATGGGGTTGTTTTTCAGCGGTTGGTCTAGACCCTTAGTTCCAGAAAAGGGAAAACTTATTGCTTCAGCAGACCAAGACAATTGTACGCTTTCAACTTTGCAGGAACAGTTTGGGGAAGACCCTTTTCTGTTCCAGCAAGACTAAGCCCCAGTGCACAAAGCAAGGTCAAAGTCATAACCTCAACCCCATCAAACATGTTTGGGATGAACTAGAATGGAGATTGTGAGCCAGGCCCTCTCGTCCAACATCAGTGTCTGACCTCACAAATTCTCCTCTGGGTGAATGGGCAAAAATTCCCACAGACTCTCCAAACTCTTGTAGAAAGCCTTCCCAGAAGAGTGGAAGCTGTTATAGCAGCAAAGGGGGGGACAAACTCCATATTAATGCCTATGGATTTAGAATGGGATTTCATAAAAGCTCCTGTAGGTGTAATGTGTAGGTGTCCCAATACTTTTGTCCATATAGTGTATCTCTATCTATCTATCTATCTACCTACCTATCTATCTATCTATCTATCTCTATCTATCTATCTATCAATATCTAACAAATGAGCCTTTTCCCTTGCATATTTTGCCACGCCAGTTTGCCTTGGTGTCCAAATGTCTTAATTTCTTGTACTTTTTGTCGTGAGGGTGCTCACACTAGAGAGCTCAAAAAGTGGGCATCACACACATGACAAGTTTCAGTTACAGAAAACCTCAGATCTCGCCGTCATCTGTGAAACAAAACTAAACTGGGCCAGCCTTGTTTTAGCTTTTACATTTACATTTATGGCATTTGGCGGATGCTCTTATGCAGATTCAATGAATATGTGGTTGAGAAACGCAGTGAGAGCTGGAGAAATGTTTTACTGCAAACTGCTAGCTTAGAAATTGTAAAGAGAGTGACTGTTTGCCTGTGTTCAGTTCTCCGCTCCACATGTGGCGTTCAGTTACGTCACTGACCATCTACCAGCTACAGGACTCATGAATGTTCTGAGTCGTAGAAGTCAAACATGTTTGAAAATATGGAAAGGCCTCTGAAGGCCTCGTGAGCGTAATTGGAAGGATTGGATCACTTCTGGGATCTTCCCATTTGGAAAATCACTTCAGATTGTTACAATTTGTCAGAAGGGGCTGATTGGAGATAAAATTGGGCAGTGTAGGCCCAGCTTAAGCATTTATATATATCTGGAATGGTCTGACAATGTTGGCCTATACCACGTTTCAATCAGAATGAGCTTAGGTCCATTAAGACTTTAGACTGACCATGACAATAATAACGTGCTGTTTACATTATCATGGCTTAATCCAAAGGTTAAAAATACACAACTTTAACACCAGTTTTCCCTGATTCTTAGGTTGGCTGAGTCTGTGCTGGACAGCTCTGGCCTGCAGGTCTAGTAGTGTGTGAGGGGCACAGATTTTTGGCCTCACAATTGGAAGGCATTTGCTTTGTACTATATATATATTTTAAGACTAATTTTACGCAGCATTTTGAGATGATACCTTTACAGGTATTGAAGCTTGGAATATCAGCCGATACTAATCAGTATTCATCATCCAAATTCCTCCCCATTCATTTTCAATGGGGAGTAGCAGAAAAGTGCGTGAGAGATTGTGGTATAGTGAGCGGCATGAACATGACTTGTGATGTGGTGATAGCGGTCAAACTGGCTTCAACTTCATGCAAATTGCACACGGCAGCCACAGAGCGCTGACCAATCAGGCAGATGCAACTGTCCATTGTTTGTGCACAGCAAGGACATGCCTATGTAGTTCTGCCTGGATAACATGGAAGGAAAGTTAACAATGGCTGTGCCTGGGTTCCCCATTCTGTGCGATCCAGAGAGTAACAAACAGAAAGACAAAAATACTGAACTACTGCATGACAGAAAGTATCTGAACCCCAAGAGCTTTCTTGCACTTCTTGCTGTTGAAGGTGTCCAAGCTGAGCTTGTCCACTCGTGTCGTAATGGGGAAAGTAAACTTGTCGTCTTGACACCCTGGGGATGCATTTTAATGAAAAGTATGAATGGTATCAAGACGAAGCTTATCCAGGTATAATCTGGATACAAACTCACATGTAAATGCAATGTGCAAACAGGCTTATACTGTTCACATCACTATTCTGGTTGCACTGTGTTACAAAGTTTGCGCACACCTGGTCAAATTACACATTTTATTGATTTTCAAAGTGAAGAGACTTAAACAGCATTTCTGCGTGGAACACATGACAGATTTCTTCAAAATGTAATGTGCAGTCATTGAAATTTGAAACAAAAACTGAAAGGGTGTCTAAACATACGCACACGCCACATGGCTTGTTTTTTTTTCAATATATTAAATTCAGCAAATAAATAATATTTTTCCATTAATTATGAGGGGCAAGGGCCCAACCTAACACAGGGAAAATTGTAACACTGATGTGTTTCTGGAGTCAAACAGGTCCTGGTAGAACATGCTTTTGGTCATCATCCCACCGTCTGTGAACTTTACGGATATTTCTCAAGCTTGATTGTTGTTCTTCCATAAAAGTGACTTTTTTCAGAATTTTTAGTGTTTTTAATGTCACAGAAGCTGTGCGTGTACTGTTTTAATCTGCTTCTTGGTAGCTGTAACAGCACCATTTTAAAACCTGTAAATAACTCCTGGAGAGAGCTAGCCATTCTCCGCATGGTGGAGGTAGTTTTAACTGTTACAGCTAGGCCTCCTGAAGTAAACAATGAGAGAAGTGTTTATCGTCTTCTGTCAGTTCAGAACAGTTAACTGTTTGAAACTTTTTGTAGAGTTAAAAAAAGAAAAGTTTTTCTGTAGCAGATGTGTTTAGGTTGCTTGTATACAATATTAAAATTTTTCCAAAATTTGTAGGCCAAAATCATATCCCAAGTCTGTTACCCATTTATGCAATAACTTTCTGTGAGGGAGATTTTAGAGGTATTAAACTCTTCAGATGTCTGGTTCCCATCACCCTCAATGTGAACAATTCTGGCTCTAAGTTCCTCTAGAACAGAGCATTTCCTCCGTACAACACCCTGCATGTACCTCTCTGCCATAAATGACTTCTAAAAACATGTTTTAGGCCGAAGCTTTATCTCAAAACTATGATAAAACAGTGTTTCAGTCATCAGGCAGCGTATTCGTCATAGCCATATTGTGCAGTAACTTTCTGTGAGGGAGCTTTTAGTAGCATTTCACATCAAACCACCCTGAATGACTTTGTTTACATCTTAAGGATATAAATATGAAGAAATTTAGAAACATGGGTGGAATACCCCTTTAAACTTGCTTGTATATTTTAAAGTTATACATCAAAACCCACAGTGTGTTAGGTTGTGTCCTGCTCTCTCTGACATCCCGATTTCCAGGAAAACAGCATTCAGGAAATGATGTCAAGGAGGATGTCTGATGTCAAGGAGTTCCGACTTTAGAAATACTTCCTGCAGTGATAACAAAGCCACCCAAACACCGCAGCTGTTCCTCCTCCTCCTCTCAGCCGCACTGAGAGTGAACAGGAGCTGCTGACCGAAGCGCTCAGTCATCTCTATATGTTCACTGTTCATACTGTTGAAGCCTGAAGATCCAGCACCTAAACCTGTAGAGAACACGGTGCCCACAGCGTGTGCAGAGAGGAGTTAGTGACCAGTGTTTTAGGCCTTTTCAGTATGAGCTGTCATACAAATCCGCATAAGTGTTTTATTGATATGTATATTTAAAAACATGCCCCGTATGATTTATGTGTGCATGTAAGTACCTGTGCAGGAATTTTCTAGGGCTGAATGTAACAAAACTGAAACATGGAGCTTTTGTGAAAAGTTTTTCTCCCTATGTCTTTTTGTTTCTCTTTCTCTCTCTCTCTCTCTCTCTCTCTCTCTCTCTCTCTCTCTCTCTCTCTCCCCCTCTCTCTCCCCCTCTCTCTCTCGTTCTTGTTCTCTCTCCCTCTCTCTCTCGTTCTTGTTCTCTCTCCCTTATCTCTGACTTTCTTGCTCACTTTCCCTCACTTTCTCTCTCGTTCTCTCTACCCCAACCAATCTCTTTCTCTCTCTCCTTTTGTCTCTCTTTATCTCTCTATCCTTTTGTCTTTCTCTCCTTTTGTCTCTCTCTCTGTCTCTCTCTCTCCCTCATTTTCTCACTCACTTGGTCTCTGTCCCTCTTCTTAGCTCTCTCACTCACTCTCTTTCTCACTATCTTTCTCTTGCTCAATCTCTTGCTCTCTTTTTCTCTGTCTCTCTTTCTCTTGCTCTCTTTCTCTTTCTCGCTTGCTCACTCTTTCTCTTGCTAACTGTCTTTTTCTCTCTTTCTCACAGTCAGTTTCTCATTCGCTTTCTCTTATAGTCTCTTTACCCCGCTACAAACTTTCTCTCTTTCTCTCTCACAGTCTGTTTCTCTCTTGTTCGCTCTCTCTCTCTCTCTCTCATACAGTATTTTCCTCCTGTTACTCTCCCTCTCTCTCTCTCTCACACACACACGCAGTCTGTTTCTCTCTTGTTCTCTCTTACTCTTTCTTACTCTCTCTCTCTCTCTCTCTCTCTCTCTCACACACACAGTCTGTTTCTCTCTTGTTCTCTCTTACTCTTTCTTACTCTCTCTCTCTCTCTCTCTCTCTCTCTCTCTCTCTCTCTCTCTCTCTCTCTGTCAGTGATTGTGCACAGAGTACACAGATGTGGTGCATATAACCCTTTAATAACTAGATACTTCATGACATAATAAGGAACGTCTTATATATTTGCTGCTTTTGTGTCTGAAATACGTACCTATGATTGACGACTGGCTGGAATGTGTTAGAAATACTGGCCCCTCCCTCGTAGCTCCACCTTGCCGGTGTTCAGTTAGAGGCTGTAGCCCGTCTGTTGATGCGCAGTGTATGTTAACCATCCTCTAGGCCTTCATCAGTGGTCAGTTTCTGATCACAGAGCTACTCTTGGCTGGATATTTTTGGGTGGGGGATCACACTCATCCTAGCAGTGGTGAGAAATTGACCAATGAGCAATGTAGTGGAGGACAACTGATAAATTGTCATGAGAATGTCTACAGTCTGTAATCATGCACCTATAAAATGGAGCTGTAAGGTTGATGGAGCTCATAAAGTGGCTCAGGAGTGGAAGTGTATGTTTTTTTTGGATTTGCAGTTCATGATTTTGCCATTTATGTATTTTTAAATCTTTTTGTGACTGTTACACAAATCCATGTTTGAGTGACCTAACACTGCAGTGTTTTCTCCTTTCTGTGTTGCAGACTTTTCTTGCTCCTGTTAATCAAGTGTTCCCTGCTGAGGACGACGTCAACAAACATGTGGAGGACAACTGTGAGTGATCCAGCTGTGTAAAACCCGCTTTGTTTTCTGGGCTTAGTTTAAGTTTAAGCCTAGACCAGGCATGTCAAACTGGGGACCCTTTAGGCCAAAGTGCTGCGGAGGTTAACGTTTACCCTCATCTAACACTCTGAATTCAGTTTACAAAGGCCTTGCTGATTAGCTGATGAGCTGAATCAGGTGTGTTAAATGAGGCAGTGTGCTGAAGTCTGCAGTGTTTTGGCCTGCGAGGACTGGAGCCTGACACATGGTGTAGACTAAGACATTTTACTAGAATCTCCACCAAGTGGAGCAGTTTTCCAGAACCTGGGTTTAATGTCTGAACCCGACTGAATCAAACGTCCATTCTGAGACTTTGGTGGTTCCCTTTAACTCGTTTATATCTTCTGACCGAGGGCTTATCGTGCTTTCTTTATTGTTGGATGCACTGTGTGAGCGAGTATCTGCATGAGAGCACAGTTCATGTAGTTAAGCAATTATCATTGTTTTATTTAATCAGCTTTATTAGATCACATTCTTTATGTTTAAAATAAATGCAACAACAGCATTAAGAAATTGCGTTGTTAACAGAGAAGAGCAGATTAAATGGCAGAAATAGCTCCTTTTTTGCATCAGCCATAAAGGGTTAACATGTATTTGGAAGTGGCCTGTATAAAGAGTAATTCCACCAATTATTAAAAATTTCTGCATGATTCAGTCGTTGAGATGTAAACAGTCATTTACAGTGGTTTAATGTAAAATGGTTACTTGTAGAGAAACTTACCTTCTCAGATTTCTTTTACAGTGGTGGTGATGGGAACCAGGGGTCACCATATCTACAACACAAATATAGCCATTGTATTTACTATCCATACCAGTGAACCTACATACATTTTTATATGTAATGTTGATGATGGTAAAATAATGGCAAATCTGACAGAATATGTTTTCTTTTGGGACTATTTTGCCATACAACACCATGTGTGTACCTCTCTGTCATAAATGGATTTTAAAAGTATGTTTTAAGCCACAATCTTATCTCAAAACTATCCTAAAACAATATTTCAGGCATCGGGCAGCATATTCATAACACATTTTTGTAATAACCTAATAAGTTTTTAGAGGCATTAAACTCGTCAGATGTCTGGTTCCTATCACCACCACTGTGAAAAGATCTGACACTGCAAGTTTCTCTGGCATTTCAGACCACGACGTACGTATCACACGTACGTATTAACGTCACATGGCTCGATGTTTAGGTCTCATATGCAAAATCAGCATTATACTGATGAAGATATGATGACGTCATCATCAGATTCATCCACTCGGGGAAGGGGTCTGAAGCACAACACACGTTGCAAACTCTTCTTCTGCACTTTCGCATGCAGTTACATATTTCCACCAGAGAGGTCTCCAAATCTCCAAATCCCCAAATTTTACATAGTGTAGCTTTAAATCTGTCTTTGAAGATCAAGGTTGCAGCTGCAGTTCTTTGCTTTCTGCAGCTTCACATGGTTTGTTGACAGACTAAAGCCTCCTAGTCAGCCCACTACCTCTAGTTTCACAAGAAAAACAGCATCTCTCTCACTCAAAGAACTGAGAAACAACAGTGCTTCAAAAGCATTGCAGTCTGATAAGGATGATATGCAGTGAAGATCTTCCTCCCATATTAGTGGCACCATTGTGCTGTAGAGAGCTATGCTTCATGGGATTTGACTAAATTTGATTAAAAAGCCACATTTTTTCCCCTCTTCATCATGTTTATCTGTTTTGATCTATTCGCTTGCATACAGTTTGATCTTAATCTGCCTTTCCGTCTGTGTTTCTGTTGCAGGCTCGTTGATGTACTTGAATGAAGCCACACTCCTTAATAACATCCGTGTGCGCTACAGTAAAGACAAAATTTACGTAAGTATTAAATGTCCACCAAAAGCAGTGAAGAGAATCTGGCCCTGGCCCTGCGTAGGCGGCCTGTGGGCAGTAGATCTCACTGCGGAAGGCGAAGGACTGAACATAGCTTTAATACAGTGTAGCTCAGTACTGTAGTGCCTCAGTACTGTAGTGCCTTCTGTAGTCCCACGCCCCTCTCTCTTCAGCACTGCAGCCTTATTATTGTGTGTCCTGTTATTTGTTTTCTAGTTCTTTATTCTCTTCTTTCCTTTGATAACACAGCGGTCGCCTTTGTCTCCCATTTTGTAGGATGTTTGTCCAGCTTTCCCATCTCCTGCCCCACAGCATTAGTGTTTAACTATTACACGTTGCCTGAACTGTTTGGCCCAGTGAGCTGAAATATAGACTGAGAGAAGTGACAAAATATTCCTCATTTATTTTTTGTATTATTATTTTTTGTTGGTAAAAATAATTGAATTGAGATGTAAATAGTCATTCAGAGTTGGTTGATGTGAAATATTTTCTTTGTAGAAAAATTGGAGCTTGACCAGAGGTGTGTCTACCCAAATATAGCCATTATATTTACTATCCACAATGAGTTTTATATGATGAAATGGTGGTAAATCTAGAAATAAGTGTTCTTCATGGACTGTTTTCCTTACATGTATCCCTCATGCATGTACCCCTCCGCCATGAACTGTATTTTAAAAAGTATGTACGTTTTAGGCCAAAATCTCATCTAAAACTGTCAGAAAACAATGTTTCTGGCATCAGGTAGCTCATACATAATCATTTCATGTAATACCTTTGTTACGTAACTTTTTAAAGGCATTAAAAGAGGGAATTCCACTGCTTTTCCAACATTTTCTGCTTAATTAAATGCTTATAATTTAAACAAACTAATTCGGAGTGGCTGTGGTGAAATGCTCCGTTCTACAGAAACTTACCAGCTCGGAATTGTTCACAGTGGTGGTGATAGGAACCAGACGTCTGAATAGTTCAATGCCTCTTAAAGCTTCCTCACAGCAGGCAGTTACATGAAATGGTTACGTATACACTTCCTGATGCTTAAGACAATATTTTATACTACTTTTCAAATAAGAACATATATTTTTAAATACATTCATGGTGTAGAGATATATGCAGGGCATTGTGTGGCGAAGTAGGCACCAAAGGAAACGTATTGTTTCAGGTTTACCACTCGATTTACTTATTTACAGGTTTCTCTAGGGGGAGCATTTCTCATCAAACCACTCTGAATGACTTTGTTTACGTCCTAACAGTTTAATTATGTAGAAATTTGGAGTTCTTTAGTTTCTCCTGATGTTTGCTTTCTCTCTTCACTATTGCTTGCCTTTCAGTGACTGGCAGTAAACAGCAGATGTGTTTAGATGCCACCTGGTGGCCACATCGAGTCACTTCAGCCCCTTTACATTTTTCTTTCCCGTTTAATAACATTCAGAGCAGCTCACAGATGCCTGTTAGACCTTCTGGAGGAAGTTTGCACACAGTGGATGAATGCTTCACTCTCAGTTGCAGTGACCCAAAGAACCACGTCATCAGCCGCAGCGAATAACTTCTTGGTTCACAGCCGAGTCCCATCATGGGATTTAACACTAATTTGAGTAGCGAAACAGTGAATGGCGTACATTCTGAAGGTACAACTAAAATAAACAAACCTGGTAGATGTGTCAAGGAAAACATGGCGCGAAGCATTGTTGATCCAAAAGTAATAAAAATAGCATGATTTGTAGATTTGATGTGTCAGTAGAGATAAAAAGATGCTCCAGCATGTTGCTTTAGAGATGAAATAGAGATGGCATGATACCACTTTTTGTTTTTTAGAAGCTTTGAGCTTCTGCTATGAACTTTAAAAAGAAATATTACATGTATTTATGTATCATACCCGAACTACCCCACACTTACTGTTATTAGGGGCCTTATTCATGTGGCTGTTAATGTTATTATGTGACCTACGTCGCGTTTGGGACACTACAGCCAATTCAGTAGTTGTGAAAGGAACCAGACGTCTGAGGAGCGTAAAGGGGTATTCCACCTATTCTGCAGAACTGCTGCGTAATTCAGCTGTAACATAATTAAAATAGTGGTAAAGCTGAAACAGTATGACTACTTTGCCTAACAGTGTCCTGCATGTGTCGCTCCACCATGAATGTATTTCTAAAAACATGTTCTTAACTTGAGTATAAAATATTGCCTCAAGCACCAGGCAGCGTATTTGTAACCATTTCATGTAATACCTTTCTGTGAGGGAGCTTTTAGAGGCTTTAAACTCCTCAGATGTTTCATTCCCATCAAAAATTCTGAGCTGGTAAGTTTCACTAGAACGGAGTGTTTTACACCAAACCACTCTGAATGGCTTTGTTTACATCTCAACCATTAAATTAAGTAGGATTTTGGAAAAGCGGTGGAATTCCCCTGTGACACCTCTAAAAAGCTACATAACAGAAACATATTACTTGCAATGGTTATGTGTATAGCTGCCTGATGCCTGAAACATTTTAATGACAGTTTTTTAGATGAGATTTTGGCCTAAAACATATATATTTTCAAAAATAGAATTCATGGCAGAGGGATACATGCATGAAGCATAAATGCAAGAAAAAAATAGTTTGCATAGAAGTCTTTATGCCAGAAAGTTATTATATGAAATGGGTTATGAACATGCTGCCGGGTGCCTGAAGCATTGTTTTATGATAGCTTTGAAGAATAAGTATGTTCTAAGTTATGGCCTACAGTGCATTTTTAAAACACGTGGTGGAGAATAAGTACGTGCAGGACGCAGAAAAAGCAGGATAGTTCTCAAAGACAGCCTTTTATTCTGTGGATTTAATGCCGTTTTACCATTATCAGCGTTACATATAAACACAGAAGAACCATGTAGATTTCACTGGTGGTTTTGAATAGTAAATAAAATGGCTAAATTTGTGTTGTAGGCATTGTGACCCCTGGTTCCTATCACCACCACTGTGTCAGTAATTTTCCCGACAGTGAACCGTCTCACATCAAACCACTCTGAATGACTTTGACATCTCAGTCATTGAATTATGCAGAAATATAGAAAAATCTGTGGAATTTCCCTTTAAATACTTTGAGTTCTTGGTTGTACAGTGATGAATCCAGTGTGCTGAAGTACAGAGCCACAGTGATAGAAGTGAAACTACAGAAATTATTACTGCATATGTATATAATATATTGCAAAGATATTTAGATCTTTTTCATATTGTTCATTGTGAATGCTTCTTTACTAACCCTGGTTCTAACTTTTGTCCTCTAGACCTATGTGGCCAATATCCTGATAGCAGTGAACCCTTACTATGACATCCCCAAGCTCTACTCCCCCGACACCATCAAGCAGTACCGGGGCCGCTCGCTGGGAACGCTCCCACCCCACGTCTATGCAATCGGTGAGAGACACAAACTAAAGTCACTTATTCAGCTCTTCATCTAAGGGTTTCTGAATGTCAGCTAACTGTTAAAACTCTCCGTTTGGTGAACAGTGGTCTTGTTCGAATAGGAAGGCATGTGGAAATACATGTAATGTCAAAATACAAACACGAAATGCTGTGGATACAAATAACCATAATTACTAATGATTCACCGAAATTAAAATTCCTGACTGAAACTGAAATTCAAGACATACTTGGTGCAAAAAAACAAAAGAAAGGTGTTTTTTAAACTTTTTTTATTCTAATTGCTGTTTTATTTATTATTTTGAATAAAAGTGCTAAACATAAAATCTACCAGGTAGTACAGAAAACATATTTTTATTATTGAGGAAATCTGCAGTCTTCAATAGGACAAAACTGAGCAGATAGTAAATTAAAAACAGTTAAATAAAGACAGAAAATAAACTTATTAAAATTACAGTATGTAGGCTGAAGAAAGTGCTACAAAATCTGTCGTTCTTGAAAAAAACAGTCGGTCTTCCAAGACATTAAATTCCATTATGTTTCTTTAGTTGCTTTGCTATATTGCACCTTTGTTTGTGAACTTCCTTTGTGACTTTGTCCTTTGTGACTGTGTTCCTCACAGTTGATCAGCTGCTGCTCAAACTGTTTGAACTCGTCTGCACAGCGCAGGAGTTTCACTGTTTCTCGTTTTCAGTATCAGTCAAATGATTTCTTAAGTGTGAGATTTTGACACTTTATTGCGGTCTAATTCAACTTTTTGTATTTTTGAGCCCAAATTCTCAGCCTTTTTTTTCTTTCAGTCAAAAACAGAAAGCGATCAAAATATTTTGGCGTCTTAAAGTTTTGGGCATCCCTAATTATTACCGCAATTCTCAGCACTGTTGTTTGTAAAATGATGCTGATTCAGGTATTTCATTTACTACCATTTACTTCTCCTGGCATTTAAGCTGCAATCAGTGTTTTAGAACTTTTGGGACAGTTCATTCAGCTCTAAATGTGTTGGGCAAAAATGTGGATAAATATAGTAGAAGTTGGACATTATTCTCTTTTTGTTTAGTCACATTTTCTCATTAAAATGCTTAATTTGCTATCACTTCATTGACCTTAGCATTAACTGAGAGTGCTGTAGATGGAGTAATATGTGTGGAGTGGTTGATGGCCTGTGTGTTTCTGCCAGCTGATAAGGCCTATCGCGACATGAAGGTACTGAAGATGAGTCAGTCCATCATCGTCTCTGGAGAATCAGGGGCAGGGAAGACCGAAAACACCAAGTTTGTACTCCGGTAAGAGACAGTTCCACTTTTACCACAGTCGACTGCTATACATCATGTGGCTTTAAAGAAATAGCTTGTTGAAAAGCCTGATTTGCCTAATTTGGCCCTTCCCCCAGATGTTGATCAGATAAGACCTGCTGGGTGTCTGAAGTTTGCTTCTTTAATTTTCACACTACTAATTGTCGTGATCTCCCTCTCACCTCAGTGTCAAGTTGTTAAGTAATGTCAGATAGACTTGCTTATGTGGTTTCTAATAAGACCGGATGATAATGTGCATTTGGACAAATGCTTGTTCTCATCAGAATTGTAGGGATATATAATGTTATCATGATCCAAATTCAGTTACCATATAATTAACAACTGTCCCAGCTTTTAATATCACTTAATAATTTATAATGATATCTATATTCTGCACATACAACATGTAACACTGCTAACATCCAGTGGTTCTCCACATTTATTTGGTTGGAAACCAAAATAATACCAAACTAAAGCTTTGGCAGCCTTCTTCTGGGCAAGGATGTCCATTTCGTAATCTTTCCAGGCGGCGTTTAAATTAAAGACATTTGTAGTTCATTAGTTTGTGATGTTGAAAAGAACAGTAATTTGTGTAATATCAGTGCTTATTTAAATTAGCAGGACATTCTTTAGTACCAAATTATATTTATTAACACTGAATGACATAGAATTATATAGAGTGGTGCACTGAAATGAAAACACTTGGCTAAATCCTAAACCGAAATCATATATGCTGCTCATTGCAAAATTTTGATTGTTTATTATATGATTAGTGGGCCAGTCTGAGCTGAGATAATGTTACTGAAACGTGAAAAAAGAGCACCACGGTTTCATTTTCGCACATTCAGATTTCTTTTCACAGTAGCTTTTCAAATGGTAGGCAGAAAAAAGGGTTTTTATGTGCAACGTTATCATTGTTATTAATGATAGCAGCAAGGACAGTCAGCTTCCATTTGATTTTCACCTGAAATTGAGTGTGTTTACATGCACTTAATAATCTGCTAACTTCAGAAAATCAGATTTTGTCAGTAATCAGATCAACATGTTAACATGCACTTGAGTAATCAGATAGCGGGAAACTTCGGGTCTACATGAGTCAGACAATAATCGGATTTCTGCTTTGCAACCAGCCAATAAACTCACAGAAGAAGACGTGACGTAAACATAGCATAAGCTCAAACGTCATGCCAGGGCTTTTTTTCAAAACATTGCACCACTTTATCTGAAAATATGAACATACATCATCTAGAAGATGAGGAATATTTAAATCCTTGAATTCGTCAAGTATGTAGTTTCAGCGTCGCTCCAAAAGAGTTTTGCTGCATCTCGCTGCAGCGCTGCTCACTTATTTCTGGTCCTCAAGTCTGTTTTGCACATTTGCAGACTGAGAAATCCGAAAGAAATCAGAATAAGAGTTTACATACACTAAGAAATCTGATTACTGAGCTAAAATCCAACTCTCTTTTTTGGATTTCTAGATCGGAGTATGGTGTTTACATGACCATTTGAATCATCAAATTCACTGCAGAAATCCAATTATGATTGGATTATTGAGTGCATGTAAACACACTCATTGATATGGAACACGTTGATTGCTGTGAAAAGCGATGGGCAAAGACCAGCTTTATAATAGATGTGGGATCTCAAAAGAAGATCTCTGCCAAATATCGCACACTCCTGACTTTAAGCAACAGATTTTTTTAGCAAGAAAGTTTACTTACGAAAAAACTGCAGTTTTCAAACATTGACAATAAATAATATTTACATAACAAATAGACCATTCAGTCATCAAGGCAGTGATTTCCACTATTAGTCATATTTTACACTGTTAAAACATTAACTTTATTCTATTAACAGTTCTTTGGTATAACGACTTGTGTGCTTAGGGTCATGTTTTGCTGCATGACCCCTGTCCTCTTGAGTTTCAGCTCATGGACAGATGTCCTGACATTTAATTTTAGAATTTGCTGGTTTGACACAGAGTTCATTGTTCTATCAATGGTAGCAAGCTGTCCTGGCCCAGATGCAGCAAAACAAGCCCAAACCATGATACTACCACCACCATGTTTCACAGATGGGATAAGGTTTTTATGCTGGAATGCAGTGTTTTCCTTTCTCCGGACATAACGCTTCTCATTTAAACCAAAAAGATCTATTTTGGTCTCATCCATCCGCAAAACATTGTTCATCTTGTGTGAGAATCTGATGAAGTTATAGGTGAAATTTATGCAGAAATGTAGAAAATTCTAGAAGGTTCACAAACTTTCAAGCACCACTGTACATTTGGGGGACAAAGATAACAATGTAACAGATTTTGTTACACATTATTTCTTTAATCAGGCAGAAGCAACATGTGAAATGACAGATGATCGTGTTTCTGTATGTTGATGCCAGGTTGCAGTCACAAAGGTCATATTGACAAAACTCCAAGTGATTGTCTCCTCTGACTTTTTGTCTTTGCTGTGTTTTTCCCAGGTATTTAACCACCTCCTATGGGACAGGTCAGGACATTGATGAAAGGATAGTTGAAGGTACGTGTGTGCTGTAAATGCTGCTGGCTTAACACACTGACTCAGACAGATTACAGAATGGTGACCTTTTGTTTGGTCTTTGCAGCGAATCCCTTGCTGGAGGCGTTCGGGAACGCTAAAACTGTCCGCAACAACAACAGCAGCCGCTTCGGCAAGTTTGTGGAGATTCACTTTAACACAAAGGTCAGTGTGCCCTCCTTGCTGTGAGTGAGGTTTGGCCAAGTATAGACCAGCAATGCTGAGCACACCAAAACAGCTTATTCTCATGTTATTGCTGGATTCTTATTCTTAGGAAGCAGTGGGGTAAGCAGTGATTGTTTTGAAGTCACTGTGTTCTCTAAGTATCGTCTAAAGTGGCTGGAAGAGTGCTTATTGTGCATGTGGGATGCTAAATTTGTTCTCTTTTGATGGGCGTCTACACCGAGCATTAAAGCAATGATTTGATGAAAGGTTTTGCTTCTTTAGTTTAGCGATACAAGGCTAATGATGCTAAAACACTAGAAGTCAATAGTCCCAAGATAGTCCCAAGATCCAAGATACCCAAATCTTTTCGGTAAATGCATCCCTAAAACTTCTCTGCTCACACCACACCTGGGTCTTCATTAAGGCCGCACAGACTTGTAGATGTAGTTTAGAGCACCACAACTTCACCGTGTAGCTGAATTTTTCACTGTGCTGAATTCTGACTGCACACACATCATGCAGGCATATTGATGTTAGTTCACATTCAAATTTCTGTGGTTTCTGTTTATAAACATACCCAGTCATATGCAAAGGTTTGGGTGCCCCTGGTCAAATGGCACGTTTTGTTGATTTTCTGAGGTAAAAGAAGTTAACACATCCTGTACACATCCTGTACAGAGAACACTATAATGTGGCATTTTTCCACAAAATTTAGTGCACAGTTTAAGGTATTGGAAAAAAAATTAAATATAAAATGTGCCATAACTTTTGACAAGCCAAAATTGGTTTTATTTGTATTTTTGAGTAGGTATATGTTAAATTCAGCAAATAAACAGTTATTGTGCATTAAATTCAGGGCAGCGCGATGAATTGTATTTTTTCTGGTATTGCAATATGAGTTTCCGGGATAAATTTTTAAGAGCTGAGATGACATAAACAGGTCAAGCTAGCAGCACCAGAGAGGCGACATGACAACCGTTAGAAGCCTAATGAGTGCTTCTCTGTGCTGGTGTTGAATAAGTAACTTAACCATTAGGCTAAACAGTCTATTACAAAACACACACGTGCACACCTCAAAAAACCGGCCTGTGAAAATGGCCTGCATCAAACATTAGGGTTGTTCTCACACCCAATGTTGTTTTGAGTGTGATATATGTATGTGTGTGTGTGTGTATATATATATATATATATATATATATATATATATGTGTATATATATATATTATATATATATATATATATATGTATATATATACACAACACCCTCCATGAGCTGTTGAGGTGATTTTTTTTCTTCATCCTTTTAGTACACAAAAAATCTGCTGAATCTGTATGTAAGTCGATGTTAGTGTTTCTTTTTATTTTGCACAATAGTAATTGGTACTTTTGTAATTTTGTATTTTGCTATTTATTAAAAGGAGAGGTTAGATTACTGTTTACACCTCCCCAAAAAATTCTGTACCTGCGTCATTATTATTAAAATATCGCTTCTCATATTGTCATAATATCATCATGACAGCTTTATCAAACATTGCACTTTATGTCCGTATTGTACAGCTCTAATGAAAATGTACAGACGTGTTCTCTGTATGGGATGTGTTAACATATTTACGCTTAGAAAATCAACACAACATGGCATTTGACCAGGGGAGCCCAAACTTTTGCACATAACTATGTATAAATGTGTGGTTGGTGATTCAGCTGCCATCTTGTGTGAGTGTGTGTGTGCACTTGCTAACGTATGTGTTGATGTGGTGTCCAGAACGCAGTGGTGGGGGGGTTCGTGTCTCATTACCTGCTGGAGAAATCGCGGATCTGCAGGCAGAGCCAGGAGGAGAGGAACTATCACATCTTCTACAGACTGTGTGCAGGAGCTCCTGAAGACATCCGGGAAAAATTCCACCTCACCTCTCCAGACTCCTTCAGGGTGAGTGCAGTGATTTACTCTTAAATCCAAACTTCTCTTTTTACTACACAAGTGGTTCACTGACAAAATTAATGACAGAACGTGGTGTTTTGATTTACATTCAGTATCAGCAGGTTTGCACTTCACCTGTTTTCTGTTTATTTAACAAACAATGACAAAAACGTTTCATTAAAGTAAAATGAATACTAATAAATAATTCACTCTTTTACTTGCTAAACTTGAATGTAGTATGCTTTGAAGGTTTAGAATCCACACTTTACACAGACCTTCTCAGCTTGTTTCACTGAGCTACGAGTAACTGCTCCATTGTGATGCAGTTAGCAGGTCAACTAACCCGCCAACAATAAACAGTGAAAATATAACAGTCTCTCTTTCATATGTTTATTAATAGCTGGTGGGAATGAGATGTTTAGAGTTGAGTTTAACATACCGGGAAAAAATATATATATAATAAATAAAGTGTGCCATAACTTTGTCACTACCATATTTAGTTTTATTTGTGTTCTTGAATATGTATATGTTAAATTTAGCAAATAAACAGTAATTGTGTATTAAAATTAGGGCAGCACGATGAATTGTATTTTTATTGTTATCACAGTATGAGTTTCCATGATAAATTAAGAGCTACAATGACCGAACAGGTCAAATTAGCAGCACCAGAGAGACGACATCATTCCCGGCCCAAACCATTAGAAGCCCAATAAATGTTTTGTGTGCTGGTGTTGAATGAGTAACTTATCCATTAGGTTGAAGAGCCAATTACAAAACACACACATGCACACCTTAAAACCTGCTCCATTCTAAACTACAGGCTTGTGTATTATTCTCACGCCCAATATCGTGTTTTAGTGTGTGACATACACACGTGTATATATATAAATGCTAAAGCTAGCGTTTCCTTCATTTAGAATCATTTAGAAGCCCCGCCCCTTTAGATGGCAGCATAGCCAAAGCACTACTAGTTGAGGACAAGCATCCAAGGGTCAAAGTTTACCAAAGTACAACTTGACATGACGTTTCAGACTCAAAATTCGTTCAGTCCGGAAGTCTGCAACGTGAAACCACTCATTACGGAGAATTATTACACTGAAATTAATGCCCTTTTGTTCATAAAATTTCACTCGCAAAAAGCTAGTGTGACTGTGCTTTCAAGTTCCCCTGAAGTCATATGTTAAAACACAAGAAATCATCTATGCTGAATAGTAAATTAAATGTTTTGTAAATTATTATTATTATGGCCAAGAAACTACAAAAAATGGCAACTACAAAATGTGTCCCTAAACCTCAACACTCATTAAAAATACGACAGTCTTAAAAGAATATGCCCTATTATGCAAATAGTAAACGCCCCGTTTGGATTCTTCGCCACTCCCCCGGCTACCCTGCCCTCTGTCTCTATGTTTAAAAAGATGAGGCAGTGCAGATACAAAAATAAGCTCCCACTATAACTATTTAATAATCATAAAGAGTCTGTCTTCGTGTCAGTCCAGCACCAGCCACTCGATTTCACTCGCTCAGATTTGAGTCTTTTGACTTTCCTCAGTGCAGAGTCAGTGGTGGTTTAGCCTTCTTGCTTAGCTATTGTTAACTTAAACTGACAGCTACACACACAAAACAGACATTTGAGTCTTTATCTTTGCATCACTGAGGCTTCAGTGAGCCAGAATGAACCTGCGTGTGAACTGTTGTTTAGGCCTTCTCGCTAAGCTAACGTTAGCGTCTAGTGCCGATGGCATTGAGGTGGTACATGAGGGCTGAGGCAAGTCAGCTGACTTTTGCATGGTTTTACATTGGCAGTGCAAATTGAAGATGCTTCCTTCAGCTGTCGTCGGCTCTTGGGGATCAGGTGCTGGACGTGACGCCTCTTGTGCATCCTCTCATTAGCATATTTTAGTATACTGAACAGTGATAGGTTCAGGCTAATTCATTAAGTACAAAACTAAGCTGTTACATGGTGCCCCACATGTAGCTTTTTTCAGATGTGCTGATATTCTGTGTTTTTAGTGGAAAATGGCGAACTCTCCACTACAGTAACACATTACATACATACAAATATCAGTCTATATAACCATAATAACATTTACAGCTTTGGCAGACGCTCTTATCCAGAGCAACTTACAATTTGATCATTTTACACAGGTAGGTGAAGGTAATGTTAGGAGTCTTGCCCAAAGACTCTTACTGGTATAGTGTAGGGTGCTTACCCAGGTGGGGGATTGAACCACAGTCTATAGTGTAGAAGGCAGAGATGTTACCCACTACACTATACCAACCATCCTAGAGAAGCTAACCATTTAAAAACCTCTTTTTAGTGCAGGTGGTCTTTAAAGGTGACATTATCTTTGTACAACTTTGGTAAGTACAGTGTTTGGGGAGAAAAAGACGAGAATCAGGGGGAATGGGGGTACATACTATTCAGATACAATAGAGCCCACAACCTTCTGGGTATATAAGGCACAGTTTCACCACCTACAATACCCAACAAACCTTGGTTTAAACACCCCTTATGCAACCAACTTCTATTCCACTCCTGGAAGGGAAAAGTTTGCTGAGTTTCCTGTTCAAATTCATCCAAACTTGGTAGCTTTCTGCTGAATCAGGTGTGGAGAAGTCACCACACTATAGGATCAAGGCCCTCCAGGTCCAGAGCTGCTGTCTTCTTTGTTCTTTCGCCCATGTTGACCAGTTTTTATAGGAACAGAACATTTTATTGTACTTAAATCAGCACTGCTGAACATATTGGACATTGTTGTGCAGATGAACCCTTTACTCTTTGAATTCCAGCTTAATTTCAAATGTTTTTTTTCCTTAGAGGGATTGCCACGCAACACCTCTTTCAGCTCTAGAGGCTTAATAAGCTTCGTAATTATCCGTTGAGGTGAATCCGAGCAAGCCAGAGCGCTGCTGTAATGGCTTAGTGATGGATGCACACTTGCATGTTTTTCTGTTTTGTGGAAATTCTTGAGTTAACCACTAGATGGCAGTATCATCCACAACTGCAGGACTCATATTTGGTCCTGTGTGCCATTTTTAACCTGCATTTATGGTTGCATTGCTGTCTGTCTACCATCCTCACTCTACCCATTAAAAAGAACCCAGAAATGTTACAAAACCAAAGCTATTCCTTTCTGCTTCAGCTTAAAGCTCTTGTTTATTAAGGGTTTCATTGACATCAACTGTGCAGAGTCTGTTTTAGCACAGACTCTTCTTGCGTTTGGTTCCAGGATCTATGGGGTCACAGAAGAGTTCCTAATGCCGTAAACACTTTTGTTTGAAACCTTTTGGCTCCTGTGACTTTTTGCCACTTCAGATTTTCTTTAAAACTACAGTTTTCTCCGAACTTTGATGTGCTTTGTTCAAGCAACAAGGCTAAAATTGAGCTGAAGGATTGCGAGATCACAGCCCGTCGCGATAATCCACGCAGCTTCAAGTGCCTCATATGGAGATAAGAATCTTTTGAAGTGAAATGGATGAGGGGCACTTGACAGTAAGCCCTAAAGGAAATGGGGGATTAGTTTAGCTCAGTGTGTAGATCTGCCACTAAGGCAGCATAATGTGCACTTAAGCCCCACTCACTTATTCACGGGAGCGTATGAATGTATGTATTCGATGAACTTATGTGCATGATTGCGCAGTGTGCCGTTGTGAGAGAACCTCAGGACCTCTTCACTAAGTTTTTAACAGTTTAAACTCAATACAGACTCAAAATTCACCTATACATTCACCGTCCACTTTAAACTAGGGTTTAAACTAGATTACATATCATTTTACGGTAATAAAAGTAAAGAGAAAATTAAAGTAAGGAGATGAATTTAGGAAATAATGTCCAAACCCGACCGAACCTGATGATTGAATGCTAACCATGATGGTTATTTCATCAGTTCAGTCTGCAATTCTGTCATACAGTTAAACAGGGGATGTGATATGTTAAAGTTTTCACCCTGTCATGGAAGATCGTGGATTTGAATCCCTGTGTTGCCGTGACTAGTAGAGTTACTAATTTTCACCAATCTTTAGAAGCCACTACCTTATCCTTCCACTTACTCACCACATTATGAATTATTTATTATTAACACACAAACTCCCATATTGACTTCATTAGTTAACCGTGTAGGCGATCAATAACATCTGTCACTGCACAATTTATCAGCCCTGCTCTACTTCATTCATCATTGGTCAGGCCTGCCTTGCTGGACGCTCTGGGAACGTGCGGCTAAAATGCAAGATGGTTGAGGTGCAGTGAAAGAGTATGCAGAACTGTAGGCCATTTCTGAGCCCCAAAGCAGACTGATGTTGTTTTGAAAGTTAAAACTTTTATTTTGAAAATGAAAATAATCAAAGATAATCATATCCCGTGCTCTGAATACATTCATTTGTGTATTGTTCATTATATCTCCTTCTCTGTGTGTGTTTAAGTGCTGGAATTCAGTGTGTAACGAAGGCCGTGATACAATCAGTTCCTGCGCCACAAATTTGCGATCTGATTGGTTGCCGCTCAGCTCAATTGCATAAAGTTTCTCCTGGGGGTGAGAGAGCAGAGTAGAGGTGGGCGATAAGGCAAAATTACATTGTTATTGTGATAAATTATGTCACAGTATGCTTCTCTGAGCATATTGTGGACATTGTGGGTCCCTAAAGGACACTCACTTACTGCGTTTCACCGCATGTTTCATTCATAGTGAGCATAATTAGGCCTCTTTAGTTGGATTTAGTGCAGTGCAGTTTGTAAAGCATTGATTAAATATGTTTAGTATTATTATTACAGTATTTTATAGTATATACTATAATATTGTTATAGTATGTTTGTATATGTGGCACTACAGGTTCTATTTTGTCTGTTTAATCTCTAAACTAAATATCGTGATGCATATCGTGTATCGTGAACATGTCTCATGACATATCAGGACATTTTTGCCATATCGCCCACCACTAGAGCAGAGTGAGCAAGGTGTACGTCAGCCGTTTGATGTCTTAGTCACATTATAGCACATTATGAAGAC